CGACCAGGTTCTGGACACCCTCTGCGTCTCAACCGCTGTGCAGGTTGGCAGCGCTTGTGGTGGCGTGCCATTCCACCCATCCATCAATTATAGTACACTCGCACCTGGGCAGACAGAGGCACAAGCATGCACATGTGCATGCTTTGCGTTCAGCCCTGACTCAAGTTATTGTTCCAGCTTGGGGACATCCATCCATCTTCACACGTCCCTTCCACTTGTATTGCAAGCTGGGTGTTCAAAATCCAGCGTCGCTTTTCCTACCCTAAGCGCGCCTCCCATGTACCAGCAGTCCAACCACAGATCTCCTTTCTATCCAGCAACCTCACGACCCAATGGCTTCCAACCTTTCGTTCCCCTGCCCCCCTTCCATAACCAAACCACCAGCACCTTGTGACATGTTCCCAACAAGCACAATCCGCAGCCCGTGCCTTGTCCAGGCAAACCAACGCCCTCCCGCAACGCCGTCCCACTCGCAGCCCTGACTCAAACACATTCAAACAGACGCAAAGACAGTGAACAACCCAGATTTGTAGAGCCCACAGTGGCACAGCCATCAAATCTGCAGTCGTCCCAGGCTCTTATTAACAAAGACCGGTTTACCAGTTCAGGCGCCCAAAGGCACAGCAAATATATACATCAGCCGACCTGCCTGCCGGCATCGGAGCTCATTCTCAAGACTTGAGCAGCAGGCATCATTGCTATGTGGGCACCGCCCCCGGTGCCCTGGAGTACAGGAATTGTTGCTGCAACAGTCGTCAGGTCGAGGTCCCCGGCATTCAGCTGCTCGAGAATGTTGGGGTCCATCTCAGTTTCCATGGGAGTGGAAAGGGCCGAGTCCTCCAGTGTGGGGCCCATGTCATTGCCACCGATCACCAGTGGTGCACTGGTGGACAGGGCCTCCGACAGGGGGATGTGGCCAAGCACGTTGTCCAGGCCGATCTGACCACTCAACAAGTGGGATGCAAAGGGCCCCGTGGACTGCAGAGCAGCATTGGCGGCCTACGTGCAGGCACCAGTTAGGGCATGCATGCGTGGAGAATCCCTGAGTGGACAGCCAGGGGCCAATGCCTGGTACAGCTGTTGCAAAATTCCATGATGGACTGACTCCAGGTCACTGACTTCAGAGCGAACACAGCCCAATGACAACCAGTCCCATGTGTGACAGGCAAACTTGTATGTGGTGACAATTTCAGCTACATGTGATGTGGAACTCAATTCACCAAGGACCATGGTTGGTTAAGCTACACAGCCTCTCCTCATCAAAGCTTGAACGTTACCATGCATGAACAGGTCTTTGGTTGCTGACAGACTGACACCACAATTGCACAGGGTCGCTGACAAGGGGTGTGTCCAACAACGGCTGTCTCAGGCAATGTTGTAATGAGAGGGGGGAGGGTGCAATGGGCCACTGTGATAGACACACTCCTTCTAAACAGAGTTAATATCTAAACATTGTCATGGCACCCCCAAACAAACAGCAGACTCTTCAATCATGTCAACCCTGTTCATGGTGCCTATGTCAAGGTGGACATGGCACGCACACAATAGTGACTGAACATAGTGTCTTTATTCAACCCATCAATATGAAGCACTGAGGCAGGGCTGGAAAGACCCATGATTCACTATTGCATTACAGGTGGGGTGTTTGAACAAGAACATACTGGCGTCGTTTTGATAGCACAGCTTCCTGAACGTATAGGCGAGCCCCTTCCATGAACAAGCTTATGCACCAATCCTTGTGCATACACGTTCCAGTAAAGCCCTGAGCACAATTCCATTTGTTCACAGTGTTGGACAGCAGCATGCTGGTCCACCATGACCTCGCATACAGGACACTCCAGGTTTTGGTATGTGAATCGAGCACATGAAGATAGAATAGAAACAAGGCGAAGGCGACAAAAGGGCAACCTAGAAGGGAAAAAGGTATACAACTTATCAGGCAAAATGGTAGAAACAGAGAAAAGAACCAGCACCACTGGAACAACAGCAAAGTAAAAGCAACAGCGCCGGCACGACATGGCACTGCCAACAATACATTCTTTGATCGCCCTGCGGGCAGGAGGGCATGATTTGCTGATAACAACAAATCAGACATCCCAGATGCAACACTGGTCAAAATTTGACAAATCGCTGCTGTTACACCTTTAGGGTGGGGCACAAAATCCAATCGAAGGGCTTCCACCACACAGGCTCACCTGCAGGTTGCTCACAATGACAGCCTTCTGGCCAGAGAAGCCAGCCTGCTGTGAGAAGTGCTGTGCCGCCAAGTCGTCTCCCAGGGTAAGGGCCACTGTAGGTGTGTGCATGTCATGCCCACCACTGTGCTGTAGGCCTGACTGTGCACCCAGCAGGTTAAGGGCTGGCTGGACTCCTGGGTTGCCCTCGCCCTCACCAGCACCAGTGCCAGCGCCAGCCCCAGCCCCACCTGTGTAATTAGGCACAGACACGAAAGCCACCTGCAGGACACAAACACAACATGAGGATGAGTTCACCCAAAGTGCCTCGCACTGTCAGCAGCGGACATTGATCACCCCATCCATGTAACCCACATTCTAACGCACACAGGTCCAAAACCTGAGCTCCCCATAACAGGCTCCTGATCACAGCAACAACTGTAGATCCACAAAGCAAGCACAATCTGCAGCACGAACCTGTTGCTGTGGCAGTCCACCACCACTAGCTGCACTGTTGAAGGCTGTTGGGGACAGATCCTGGGACACACGCTACACAAAGACAAGTCAACAGGCTAGGAATCAAAGGAGAATACAGGCACATTCTGTGTGGGGAAGAGCTGCTTGTAGCCAGACGACAGCAACAGCTATGTGACCAGAACCCTCAAGGAAGCACCAAATCACAAAGTGCACAATGCCACCATCATGATTGCATCTCTTCCAAGCATTCATGCCCAATTGGCCACCCGATCGCATCGTGCACTGCCAGTTTGACCCCTCAGTGAGTTGCAAGACAAGCAGAGACGAGGTATCAAAGTTCCAGAGCCTTAGATCCAGCCTGTTTAGGGAGTGCCATGATATATGACATGTGTTATGAGCCCCGATTGGGCTGCGGACACTGCAATAACTCCAGGTTTGGGCACAGTTTGTTTCCAAGGAACAATAAACATCCTGGCTGATAATCCTGCTTCCCCTTCTGGTCACTGCATTTTCTGGTCCCATCAGCCCACCACATAGATGGCCCAATCAGGCCTGGGCAGGCTTAACCCCTCTTGAACGTACTGCCTTTCAGCACCCAAGCCTCCTCCACCCCTATCACTTGCAAGGGGGGTTGTAGTGCCCTGCCACCTCTCCAAGGCAGAATACATATGTGCATATTCTGAATGTCTGCATTGGTTCTGCAGCCCACTGTCCAGCCCAAGTCTGACAGGTTGAGGTTGCCTAAACCTTGCCTAGGGTGCACCTACAATAGTCCCTGGTTTAACACTCCGCAACAACAGGTTGCTGTGCCCCATCACACCTGCTGCATCTCCTGTAGCTTTCTCTTCAGATTCAGGTTGTTGGCGGCCTGACTCCTTGCTGCCAGTGCTCTTGCTTGTGCCTGAACATCAGACACATTCGAGTTATGTCCGCACCCAGCTAAGGCAGGGCATGGGCAAGTTTAAATGTGTTTTTGCAAAGTGGGCACCGCTCTCATCCTTTCTTCATGACGATCAGGCAGGACAAGAGTAGCCCAAAGAGATTCCGGTGTGTATAGAGAATGGATGACTGCCAGCATGAAACAGAGAAACACTGGGACACAGTTTTGATCCTCCTTGCAACCTAAAAAACAGTCACAGGAATTTAGGCAATATGCAGAAAACTCACCGCAGCTGGATCCATGGAGCCAAGTTGCGCCACACGGCCTGCACGTGGCATAGGGCTGTTGGCCTTGTATAAAAAGCCACACAAGAGATATCAGAATTAGCAATAAAGCAATATCAACACAGTGCAGGCGACAGTGTATCTGCATTCACTGTTAGATATGCACCTGTCCTAAAACAGACAAAGAAGACCGTCGGCAAATCTCGGCAAGCTGCACAAAGATTGTTGCGACGCATCCTGGCACACAGTATCTTGCAAATCCCTTAAATTTTGACCTGCGCGCTCTGCTGCCCTTTCAGCCAAGATGCCACGGTCCTTATGGGGTACTACCTGCAGTCCTTGAAGCTGTGCGCCCTGGCCAGATGGGAAGAGGAAAGGTATCGGGACATCAACAGGGGTTGCTCCTCCGCCGATGGAGGTCATGGGGTCTGACGCACTGTATCGTTGCCCAGGGTTGTTCCTCACCACGACCATCGGGGGCACGGATGCTGGGGTGATTATGACCTGCTAAATGAGGAACACCAACAGGCAATATAAGACCCAGCACAGTGGTGGTGCACACCCCCCTGTGACCACCAGAAAAGGTAGGTGCCGTGATTCAACTTGGGTGGTGAGGCAACAGCATTGACAGTGCAAAGGCTCGGTAGCAGCGTACTCTAGATTCGTGGGAGTTGTTGGCCGTCAGGTTCCCGCGCAGCATGTGGGGGATCTGTTTCAAGACACAAGCTGAACTGAGTGCTGCTGATGCCAGCCCTGCGGCGAGGCCCTTAAGGGATGGCTTGGCCAACACTGAGTATCCAAACCCAACTGCAGGGTTCATCGGCAGATGGCGCACCCTCAACGGAGGGGATAGTCAGATATGTGGAGAGACCACTGGTGGGTTCTGGAGTTGACATGCACACCAACCCACCTGACGATGGTTGAAGTCATCCGCCCCTTGCAACTCCAGTTTCAGTCGAAGGGCGTTATTTTCTTGCTTTAGGAGCTCCACGTCACGCCGGTACACTGCCTCCACAGTTTTGAGCTTCTCTTGGAGCTCCTACCCACCAACAGGCGCGTTCGTCAGCGCTGTCCGCAAGCCTGATCGCAGTCGCGGGAACACAACGACCACCCGCAGCGCGTCGACAGGATCGATACCAGCGCACAAACCACCAACAGGCGCGTTTCCGCAGCACCAACGGCCGCCAGGCCAGTAGCCCCGAACCCACCGTTATCTTTTCCTCCCGCATGGTGCAGTGGCGCCTGACATCTCCGGTGGCAATTGCGCGCACGATTTTGGCAAGGGTCATGCGGCTTTTCTCGCCCTTCTTTCCCGCGCCGCCGACAAGTGGCCCCAGCGCGCGGCACTCCTCCTGGAGCGCCTTCTCGTCGTCCTTGGTCTCCAGCCGGCCGCTGAACCGCCCCTGCAGGTGGGGCTTCCTGCGCAGCCGCGGCGCGATCAAACACCGCGTGACCGCCAGAACGCCGCCCGGGACCAGCCCCCCAGCCCAGAAGCGGCCCCCTCGCTCGGCGGCCCACCAAGCGCGACTCCCCTCCCGCCGCCGCGACCGCCAACCTTGGCGGCGACAGGCGCGCAACAAGGTCGTCAATGGGGCTCACAACGCCGGGGTGCCACGGGCGCTCGCAAGCCCATCGCTGTCTAACGCATTAGCTCCAATCCCGCCCTGATAGCCGCCCGTGGCGCCTGGACAGTCACGGCCGGTCCCCCCCCGCCCGCTCCCGTCCGGCGACCATATACCCTCCAACACGGCCGGCACACGGCGAGGTTGACGCAACCGCATCTACCCACCCCCGTTGGCCCCCCGGGTGCCCTACCTCGGTCTCTGCGACCCGGCGGGGCTCTTCTGCGGGTGCGAGGGCGAGCCGTCCGACCTCGGGGAGTCCTCCTTGATCAGCACAGCCTGCCCGGCGCCGTCAACGGTGTCTGAGGAGCTCTTGCCGGGCACGACGATCGGCGCCGGCGCCGGCGGGCAGGCCTGCAACGTCGCCCCGTTGGCCGGCTCCAGGTCCATCGGCTCCACCCCCGACGCGGACGCCATCCCCGCCGAGCCCTCGCCCACGGCGTCCAGCTCGCCGCCGCCCGGCACACTCTGGCCGGAGAGCTCCATGGCGATCGGCTCGCCGGCCTCGGGGCCGCCCAGGGCGGCGCCGGGCAGGGATGCGGGGGCCGCCTCCGGCACCAGGGATGCCTGCACCTCGAAGGGGGAGCCCTGCTGCGGCTCGCTCGTCATCGCGCACGCGCTGCCTTCCGGTGCTCGCTTTCGGACGGCCGCGGCCAATGCCGCCGGGCGCCAATCACCGGCACCGAGCCACGGGGGGGGTTCCACGGGAGCCCGGAGGGATGCAGGGCGTTGACTGCGCGCCGCTCAAGCCGCGCGGCCGGCCGACGACAGCGCCGAGACCGCTGGCGCCCGCCCCTCGATCAACGTCGTCGCGCGCCTGCCCACCACAAACACCGGGCTCAGTCCCGGGGCGGCCCGCCGGCGCGCGGGACCGGCTTTCCGCACCACATGGCGGTGAATTAGCCAGAAGGCAGCGCGGGCGCGAGCGGCATGGCGCGCGAGACGCGGTGCGCGCCCCCCGACAGCCTCCGCTGATGGCCGCCCCCCCCGCGCCGCTGTTTCGAGCGGCGGGATGGCGCCCGAGGAGCACTGATGCGCCCCTCGCGCAGGCTCCCATCCCCAAATTGCGCCGCCCGGGCCCGAAGTGGCCGTAGCGGCGCGTTCCGCTCCCACGGTCACCTTCGTGCGCGCGACACGCCGCCAAGGCTCCTCGCCAGCTCGAAGACCAGCAACCGCCGGCGGCCCTCCGCCAGTGCGCGCCCCCGAAGGAGTCAGACGCGTGCCGGCCTGCCCAGCCGTTGCGGTGCCCCCGCGCCGCTGACCATGCGCCGCTGGCGGCAGCCGCGCTCGGGGTCCGCTGCGCGTGTGTTGGTCAAACGAGGGCGGTGTGCGCGCAAGGGCCAGGGCATATGACAGGCGGGCGGGCTCCTGGGTGTTCCGGAAGCGGAAGGCGGTGCGCCCATGACTAACCACGCTCCCGATGTGGGGTCCGCGTCCCACCAACGCCGGCGGACCTGGCCGACGCGGCCCTCCGGCCGTCCCGTACAATACAGCCAGGGCCTTTCGTGCGGCCCGGCGGCGGGCGGTACGGGCGCCCGTAGCGTTTCCCGTGGCGTCACCAGGGTGACTCATCCCCTATTAGGAGGCCCCATCCCAAGGTTTGGGTCCCGTCCGGCAGCTCCGTCCGCCGTGTGGCCGGGGACAGAACCACCGGCGAACCACCCGCGCCATTCTGGCGCCCAATACGGCTGTGCGCCCCGAAGACAACGAGGCGTCACGACAGGCTTTCGTGCCCCACAGCAAGGGATGTACTGGGCACGTGGGGCCCGTACCGCCGCCAATCAATCCGCCCACGACCGTACAGGGTCGATTGATTCGCCGCGCACCGACCTGATTGATTTGATTGGTGCAGTCGCATGCCGGTCTCGCACGGCTGTTGACGGGTGACATCGAGAGGGTCCGCGCTTGGTGGGCCCTGCCGCTCACCCACCAAGGGGCTCGTGCCAGTGGCAGGGACGCGGCCCGCCTGAACCGGAGCGGTTCACCCCTCAGTTGGGCGCCGCTTCTCACACATTACGTCGATTTTTTTGCGACGCAACAACTTGCGTCGGCGGGGATCTGTGTGGGTCTGTGGTGCGACTGGCGATTGCCAGTCCCGTAGTTTGGCTTGGGATGTTCGGAAGTACGAAGGTACGAGCGAGGGAGGGGAGGGCTTCGAATGTCGACGGCGGGGCTCGATGCTTCGCGTGGGACGTCAGGGTGACCCTTCTGATTGTTTACTGATTTGCGCTTCTGTGGGGACCAGCCGATGGAATGTCAAGAGGACTTGCTTCCTTTCCGGGAACCGAATCACAGGTCGATCAGATTGACACTTTGATTGCAATTAAGACAAATGCTTCAGAATGTGGCGCGAAGTGCTTTGCTTGAGCCAGATATAGGGATATTCTCCAGTGCGTCATGGAACAGCAGCAGTCATGCCACATATGCCACATCCTCACCTGCTGTGGTGGCAGAGTTTAACACCAAGCAGCAGACCGACTTTCTGGAGATTGTGTCCATTTGCTCAGGTTGGCACGTTTGCTGGGAGCCATTTGGTTGCCAAAGGATACAAAAAAGTTGTAGATTTCACCTCCCCAAGATTCAAGTAGGGCTGTGCATTGCTGCCCTTCACCGTGGCCAGGCATACATGCTTGGGGCAGTTTTCCACAAGCGTCGAGAGTATTTTGGAATCATTCAGCATGACATGGTGAAGAGAACCCTCCCCATTTCCACCAGGTTGCTTGGGTGCCACTTCATCAAAGCAGAATCAAATGCAGGAAGGACGAGAGGGGAGTGATCCTTGTATATCAATGGCATTTCCACACACACACACACATTCGCAGCAAATGAACTGCAAACTGTAGATCCCACGTTCGAATCCGCTGTGCTTCTGATTTTGCAATTTATCGGGCCCAAATGCTGCCCAGCCCATACTACTCCCAGGATTCCAATTCCTCATATATCTTCTTGTATCCATCCTTGCATGAAGTTCTCCAGCAGGCGCATGCTGCAGCAAGTGATGGTCACCAGGGCAGCCCCCACACAGCGCACTTCCAATGGCTAGGGTTCAGGTGTGCCCAGCCTCTTGCCAAGCACCCCAACCCAGATGACACCAACAAAAAGCAGCAACAGAGAGCAGAGCCTTTGCATCATGTCCAACAAGAAGTTGGAGGGGTTGGGGGCTACGCCCAGACTCGCTCGGAATCCAGCTATTCCCCAGGCGTACAAAAAGTACCCTATGGAGAGGCACATGATCCCTAAGCGCACCCACCACTCCACAGGCTGGTCTGACACATCGGCAGGAGCACCGTTGGTTGGGACACCACATTCTTTCAGGCCCTTCTCACACAACTCCTCGATCTTCTCTATGGTCTCCATTGTCTTCCTTGAGTTGGGGTCCCTCTTCAACACGGAGGCCTGGCACTTGGCGCCAATCGTCCCAGCGAACTCCCGGAAGTACTTGTAGACATCTTTCATCGACTCAACACTGGGATGACACAGAGCAAGGTGTGCGAACTGCCAGTGATCAGAGGTGCCAAACATCGCAAGGTATGGCCCTTTCAGACAGTGGGAATACTGTAAAGCAGTGTGTACTATCCATGTTGCCGCTCAACAGATCGCCTGGGGGGTTCAATGCCAGGTCTCGTAAGGTGCGTCAATCAATGACAATGGTATTTTAGGCATTGCAAAGTTCTTAAAGAGAATGACACATCGTTAGCCTTGCATTCATCAAGGCTGTACCCAGCACTGTTCACATCTATGCAGACTTTGCGTGGTGCATTGCTGATTAGAATTCTGCTTCAAGTAGTTCTAGATGCTGCTGCCATAACCAGGAATGTTATCCCCAGCGAGGGCCAGAATTGCCCATCAGCAAGCATAGGAAAGATGCACGCACAAATTTGCATAGTGGCATGTCTGTTCAAAGTGACTTGTCCTCAGGCGCATGCAGATGGCATGGTGTGGATGCCAATCACGTGAGATGACTTTGACACAGTCTACTGTCTCTGGATACCAGTTGGTCATCTATATATTAGATATGCAGACTTGCTTGATGCACTGGACATGTTCGATATGCTCAGAATCGATGAGGGAAGATTCAGCTACATTTGGCATCAAAACCCAGGCATTGTCTTTGCTCCCCGCAGACAGTGATGGTTTTGCTCCAACAAGCTCTGCAGATACGTTAGAGTGTTAATGGTGCTTTACTAGCATTCCACTATCAATTATCACTTCCTGTTTTTCTGCTTTTTTGTACTTTGTGCGTTGTCTCCACCACTCTCTTGCCAGGGAACAGTCACAACCACAATGTATCAGCAGGCCTAGACAGCACAGGGACTGTTCGGTGCCACAACCCCAGGGTACATTGGCTCCAAGAATATAAAATTCGTGGAACAGTACCAGCATTCCACTATCAATTATCACTTCCTGCTTTTCTGCTACTTTGTACTTTGTGCATTGTCTCCACCACTCTCTTGCCAGGGAACAGTCACAACCACAATGTATCAGCAGGCCTAGACAGCACAGGGACTGTTCGGTGCCACAACCCCAGGGTACATTGGCTCCAAGAATATAAAATTCGCTGCAAACATCGCACACATAAACATTCACATGGGCAGATGGTGATGGATAATCCCAACAAAGGGTCAAAAGGTCAATAGGCAAATGGTCTAGCAGTGGGATGTTCACTGGCTGAATACAAATGTCTGTGACACAGGTGTTGGCCATAAAACAATGGACGATATAGTGGTCAATGAGGGGCATGTATAACCAGTGTGCTGCCAGGGCAGTATAAAGGAACACAGGCCTTTTCCAGCATGGTTTCATTAGTTGTGCCAATTAAACCACACTTCTGCAATTATGGTTAATTCCACTAATGCCAGAATGATGCTGGTCCAATATAGGACAACCCAGAAAGTAATTAGCTAGTCCTCTAACCCCCCCCATTACATAGCAATTGTTTGATGACAGCAGACATGCAGCAACGCGAACAATCGTACTTCAGAACAAAATGTGAGCAATGAGCCTGTGCTGCAGCAATCGATTAGGATGCAACAGGCTATTGTTTGCAGCAAAACAACAACTGAGGACACAAAACTGAACCGATACCAGGTGAAATCAAAGGGGAGTACCCAGCAACCCAGAATCTTCCCCAAGCACTGCAAGGTGCAACTTGCTTAAGTCATGCCCAATCGATATGTGACTAGAGTTTCCCACAGTGATTGTGCTTGCAGTGGGCAAGCCATGACTTTGCACTTCATCTGCCAAGCCTGCAAATATGCTTTCACCATTGGCACCCATACCTGATGTGTACCTTTTGCAGCCCACGGTGTGAACGTGGAGTGAAGGAGAAGAACCAGCGGGGGGCCAACGAATGCGAGGAATGAATGTAAGTCCATCAGTGCCTTCTGGACACAAGTCAACTGCTTCACCAAATGAACGCCGATGAAATCCAAAGGACGCATCTCACCTCTCGAATATGACGCATGTCTGCCCCCTTCTCATCTTGACCTCTCCCTCAAACACCCCCCCATTGTTGAAGCACAGGGCCAGTGTCCCTATGGCCATCACCTGAAGGGACAACAAATTGTTTCATTTTGGATGTTGGTTCATATGTTGATTGGCCTTTTGCAAATATTGCATTCAGGGCATTCTGTGGTGTAGGGCAATAATGTAATTTCCACAGATCCAACTTGTCACAAACACATCACACTCTCTTTGACAGCAGTGTAACGTCCTTGTGGACTGCCGCCAAACTGATGGAGCAAGAAAAATGTGCCATGACCCGTGTGTTGTTCTCCGTATTGCTTGTGTGGATACAGTCGTTCACAGATTCACCACAAAGCCATTGCGTGCCCATTGGGCAATGGTAGGCACTGGAGCAATGGACCCAGTTTGCTCAGTCTCCCATCATCTCAGTTCCGCATGCTGCCCTTTTCACACCTTGGAAATCACGGCACCCAGTGAATGGGCATTGGCTTTGCCATTTTCCCACCAGGGCAGTCACGGAATTCACATATCGTTCCACGCACCTGGGGTATGGCACAAAACCTGAACACCTGCTGGTTCTGCAACATCTTCATGTATGCAAAGCATGTGGGCACATGCCTCAGTGCATCGGTGATGAGGGCATTGAGGCAATCCAGTGCAGCCCCGCGATTCTTGAGCTCCTTGAATTCTTCAAGTCCCTCGACCTCCTTGCCCCACACCTCCCTGCACCAGAGAGAGATACCTCTCTTTCAATATTCTGATCCAGCAATGATAATGTCCCGTATACCTCAAACAAAGGCGATGCAGGGCAGCTGTTTGCAATTCAACAACACATACTTAACGACTCGTCTACATGTTCAGACGCTCAACGTGAATCACTACATGCAATTATTGCTTAATACTAAAAGTTCACTAATCAATGTTCTGAACAACTATTTGGTGCACAAGCGCCCAGCATCGATGCAAGCAAGGTGACTGTGCAGCAACCCATTGTGTGCCTTTCACAGTCTCAGCGGGACTTGAAACTAAGGAAATTTTTCACACCTGGGCCAGAACATTCTGGGGGCAGGCTCCTCATTGATGTCCTCCAGATAGTCCCTTATGATGTTTGTTTTTTGCAGGAATAGCCCCATCTCGTTGGACATATCAGTAAGGTCTTTGAACTTTGGGTCCTCCAGCCCTGAAGCAGCAAACAGGGCTGATAGGCCCTCCCCAACCAGCCCTGCCACATAGTGGCAATACAGGTCCAAGTCCTTGACAGTCTCGACCTCCAGTTCGATGTACTCAGCCATCCCGTGCCCCATCTTCTTGGCCACATCAGCGATCACTGCCCGAAAGGTGGGGTCTAGGCGCAGGAAGACGTCCACAACTGCGCCGAATTGTGCCATCAGGCGGTTGTAATGGTCCTTGCCATAGGTTGGCCAACGGGAGCCGCGCTCATAGATCTTCTCATGGAAAGATCTACAGCAGGGCATGAGGATGTGTCAGTGCCTGGGGGCCAAGGTGTAGGGGGTGAGAAGGCATAGGCCGTCAATGCTTGTGTTGGGTTGTTGGCAAGTGGCAAAGTGGCTGCCATTGCAGCTTCAAGGCGATGATGACTAAGAAGCGAATTGCACACAGTTACTGCTGACAGGGCAAGCACAGGCATCCAGTGAATCTTGCAGAGGCAAGAACATGTCTTGCAAATGTCCCGTCTCATCCCCATTGAGGGCATCGCTCTGCAACGCATGTTTACCATGGTGCAATTGTACTCATGGCTATACCAATCGCATTGTTTGAGCTCTAACGTGAACTCAGCTTTGTCCAGTTGCAAACCAACTGACATGATATGATCAATTAGCAACGCGAGGACACAGAGCGTTGTTATCATGTCCAATTTTCCTGGGGACTGGCCCTTGAGGAAATTGGTGCGAAAGCCATGGGGCCGCAAAAGAGCCCATCCGCGGCGCAGCGGGCGCCATCTTCTGCCTGGAGAGCCAGGCGACCAATGCGACATATCAACTCGGCCGAGCAAGCGCTATCAAGCGGCGTGCTTCCCCACGAGCCACACAGCAGCAAGACCACGATCGTCGCACAAGCCCATCTCCACATGCCCCCGGCAAAGAAACAGCTCGCCACGCGATGCCCCGCCCTCAAAACGGGATGCTTCAAACGCTCACGGCCCGCAAGAGCGAGCTTGGGCGGCGGAGGCGCCCAGGCCCCACCTCAGGCAGGGCAGCTTCTCGGCCATGGGGATCGCCATGTCGTCCTCCACCGTGTCCAGCCCGCGCAGCACGAGGTAGAAGACGCACACGGCGTCGCGCAGCGGCGTCGGCAGCTTCTGGATGACCACCGCGAAGGACCGGGAGACGGAGTTGAGGATGTCGTAGCAGAAGGCCAGGCCGGGGTCGGCGGGCAGGCGCGTGGCGCGACGGACCTCCAGGTACATGCGCACGGCCGGCAGGATCTCGTCCGGGTGCTCCAGAAAGTCGCGGAGCTTGGGCATGGTGAATTCGACCTGGGGCCTTGGGCCCCTGAGGAAACAGTGGCAGCCCCACTGTGGGTGTCTGTGTGCGCGTTTGCGCTCTCTTGATCACCGCGCCACCTGTGGGGCAGTGCGGATGTGGGTCCTAAAGGAGAGGGTCGTTGGCACGCTGCGGTGCGGTGTGAGTGTATCTTAACAAATGACTTTCTGCTCGTTAAATTGGCTTACGCCATCTTACTTCGCTGCGTTACGCGGCCCACGTCCTACTCTTTCCCGTCCTTCCCTTCTTCTTCTGCCTGTCCCGATCGCTTTCTTCGCCCACTCACGCCCTAACGGTTTGCCAAGTGCCCCGGTCCAGTGGCGGGCCTCAAGACCCACCCCTGTCCAGGACGGATAGGGGCACCTGCCTCGCTCTTAAAGCGTCAACGGCCCTTCGGCATTTCCTAATGGCTGCGGGTTCTGTCCCGGCGCCGTGCTGTGGCGCCTAGCCCGCATGCCATTGTCCTCCCCGAGGAGGCGAGAGGGCCGTTTCCAGGCATATCCAACCGTTCGGCCCAAATGTGGGCTGCAAAGGCAAAGCCGTATGCGGACTGATTGAGTGTGGCGAATGTCTGGCAGGAAATTCGGGATACTCGGAGCGAGGTCCTAGGGGGGCCTATTGTGGCTAGCCGTGCGGAGGAATGGACAGTTCGCGAGATGAGTGAGCAATACCAGATGGCTCGGGATGCTCACAGAGCGCGAGTGCTACGCGTTGCGGAGAGGAAGCTACCGCGAAGAAAGCAACGAATTGAGCAGGAATTCATGACTTGGTGAGCGCGACGACCCAAGGACTGGTAAACAGAACCGCCTCAACCGGAAGATGTGATAACGTTCCTGGAGTGGTTTGTCCAGACGCACCAGGGGCGGGCCCGAACCCGCACGGAGGATGGAGAAAAAGTGATGCACTTTAATACGTTGGAAAAGGAATTCAGCCATCTAAGTGGCTGGTTTCGCCAAAATGGGCGGGAGGGGGATTGGCAAAGTAAAGGGTGCACGGGAAACCCTTACCAGTCCGACTGTGTCCGCGCCTGGAAGAGGACCTACCATGCCTCGCAGCAGGTGCAAGGGATAGGGGAGAGCAGCGCTGAGCCATTACGAGTGGAGTGGTATCGGAGCATGCTCGAGGCGTGCCATCGCGAGATTGACCGCGAGGAGGATCCCTTGCATAGAGGCCGCATGGCGCGGGATGCTCTGCTACTCACGTTCCTATGGGAAACGGGTCAGTGAGTGAGGCCGCAGCTGGGACCGTACACGCGAGATATGATCGTGGACGAGTGGGGCTGACCCATTTGGACACCCGAGATGGGTAAGCGCCCTGTCGATGGTCCAATTATGCTGGACGTGTGGACCTTAAAAACCACGATGGAGTTTCGGCCAGGGTGAGTCGAGATCCACAAATGGCAAAAATTGGGTTTCTTATATTGGTTTTACTTCATGGGAGACTGGCTCGTGCAACACTCGAGAGGAGATGTCCGGATATTACTGCCTGCCTGGGATCGCCACAATGGGCCGCTGAACCAGTCGGTGGATGCCATGGAAGCTACTCGGATTATGCGGCATTGGGCACAACAGATACGCGCGCCAGCTACGCTGACTTATTACAGTGGCAAGCGAGGGAATTTGCAGCATCGGCATCACGACCTGGGGCTGTCGATGGCTGAGGTAGCCAACCAAACGCTGTTGCGGTCTGTAGATACAGTGGAAAGATATGTGGACCGGGGGCGACATTGGCACTGACAGGTGCAGGCCGACCGACGCACTAGGGCTAGGACTACTGTGAACGAATGGGTCCCGGATGTGGTACCCGGCCCCTGGCACGTGTGGGGCGGGCCGCCTCCCGAGATGGAAGCTCGGTTGGCAGCGGCAGAGAGGCACTGAGATAGAGGAACAAGGAATCCAGAGCAATGCAAAGTGCATTTAAGACACAGGCTCGGTCACAAACATATGTACCCATGGGCACCAACTCGAAGGCTTTGGCAGTCCAGATGCCACTACCCCCAAAGCGGACCAGGAATCAATCTCCTTCCCGCGCCAGTTGATGGTGCGGGGCATGGTGAGCGGCCTGCGTAACCCGGGCAACGCCGCAATCAAGGGCTCCCATGCACGGTGTGTGGTGGGCAGCACCACGACGGCAAAGGACCAATGAGTGGTTATCTGCTGCAAAGCGCGACCGGCTAACCTTGGGTGACCAACCGCATCCGCGTTCTAAAACCGTGGGAGAGCATCCACCCCCGCTGGAGGTTCGTCAGAGAGAGACGGAGAAATACTTGGACGCATCCGCCGCCGGTGGTGGTAAAACGCATCGAGCTTAATGGCTGACCGTCGATGCCGAATCGCGGCAGATCCATTGCACCGCCGCAGTTGCGCCCTGGCCGGCAGCCGCCGCTTCCGGAGGCGTTGGGTCGCTCTCGCCTCGCAACTTCGGCCGTTGGAGGTCGGCCGCCCTCTTACCTTGGACGCAGGCGATCCGGGCAAGCCGCCTCGCGGGTCGCTGTGGGCCTGGCTGCTCGACGGGGATCGATCCCCGAGGCCTGCTGTCGGCGAGAGGTGGCGGCGCAACGCGGTGGTGGTTCGCTGGCTCGCGGGAGACCAGAGAGTGGGCCAAAGGTGTTACAACGATTCACTGCATGCGCGCGCACATATCGCATGCGCGATGCCCGATCGCGGGTCCATCGCGGTCACATCATGACAAGACAAGACAAGTGCACGTCCAGGCACATTGTCACCGTCCACCATTCACCTAAATCAGCTCCACATAATCCCCGATGCTTCCATCTACCGGTCCGAATCCCATGCTAAAGTATTGCAACTTCAACTGGCCATAACTTCGCCGTTTCTACACGGAATTGGACGTTTCAAGTCGCTATTAGCATCAGGAGCTCCTGAATAAGCTGATTTTGCCGTATTTGCACTTTTTTGACCAACCGCCGCTTCAAAAATATCAATTTTAGCCTAACCCCAAGCAGCCACGTCACAATACTCCCCCCTTGGGGTAGCTTTCGCCCCCGAAAGCACACTATCCCATACTAGTGTCTTCCTCGGGCTTATCCCTCTTGATCATTTTCTGAAGTTCATGTGCATAGGTGAAATTTCCAGCAGGTATCCAGGAGGCATCGTCAATACTCCACCCTGTCCATAACACTAAAAAATCCTTATGCCTCCTGCCACTGGGTCCTGCCCATCTCCATCGCAGCAGCTTCTCAACTTCATACGGTTCATCAGCCTCTGGCTCGATCTCGGCGTCATCTGACTCCTGTGGGGTGGACCATCTGGACGATCTGAATGGTCGAAGCAAACTGGTGTGAAAGACATTATGTATCCTCCACCCTTCTGGTAGCTGCAATTCGTAGGCCACTGATCCCACCTGACGGACCACAGCAAATGGTCCTACGAACCGTCGCTTCAGTTTGCGTACAAGTGCATTTTTCAATTGTAGATGCTCTGTACTGAGTAGCACCTGTTCCCCACTGTGAAACCTCTGTTCTCTGCGCCGCTGATCGGCCTGACGCTTCTGCCTCTGCTGAGCCTGATGAACTGACTGCATCGCCATTCTGAATGTCTTCTTCATTCGGTTGACAAAGACGTTGACACCCTCAATGTTGGTCTGGTCCATGTCCTTGATCAGGTCCAACGGGGTCACTGGCTCAAAGCCGTAGTTCAGAAAGAAAGGCGTGTACCCCGTGGATGGCGATGCGCTGCTGTTGATCACGAACTCCACCATGGGCAAGTATTTCTCCCAATGAGTGACTTCCTGACTGCCATGAATCGTACACCTGAGGACTTGCTCTACCACCCTGTTGGCTGCCTCTGTCTGTCCATCTGTCTGGGGGTGGTGAGCGCTGGACATCCTTAGCTTGCTACCCAAAATCTTCCAGAATTCTTGCCAAAACTTCGACACAAATCGTGGATCTCGGTCACTGACGATCGATCTGGGGATCCCGTGAAGTCGTCCAATCTGCTCCCAGTAGACTCGAGCTGTCTCAGCAGCAATGATGGTCTGCTGGACTGGTACTAAGTGTACCATCTTTGTAGCTCGGTCTACAACCGTGAGAATCCCATCGTTTTTCCTTTCACTGACCGGTAGACCCATGATGAAGTCGAGGCTGACATCACTCCATTTTTCCTCTGGAAGTTGCAAAGGCTGAAGGAGTCCTGCTGGCAACTTGTGGACACTCTTCTCTGACTGGCAGACCTCACATCCCAGCACAAAGTCTCTTACATCCACTGTGTGATCTGGCCAGTAGAAATTCTGCTGTAATTTCTTGAGTGTCTTGTGGTAACCGAGATGTCCCGCATATGGTACTGTATGTATTTCTGCCATAATCTTCTTGCGGGCGTCCTCCACATCTGGTACCACCAATCTCCAAGGTTGCCTGTCCTCGGTGTTGTCCTTCAATTTGATCTCAATGAATCCATGGTTCAATCGGTAGTCACGATTCCCGATCCTGGTGACTCGTCCTTGGGCAGATTCCAACTGAATCAAAATTTCTGCCCATCTGCTGTCTTGCTTGTAGCCCTCTTTTATCGAGTTCCTCAAGTCTTCCTCCAGAGTAATCCTGGTGCTGGTCACCAATAAAGAATGTAAAGAATTTTGTTCCCCACTTGCAGCCACCACTGCACCCTCAGGACTGGACTTTTTAAATATTTCGTCCAGTTTCTTCTGAATATCGTTTTCCCCGCTGTCACCCTCATGAAGACGAAGACGCTGGACCAATGACTCCTCTTCTGCACGCACATCTGCCATGCACCTCAACTCCTGAATACTCCTGCGCGTCAGAAAGTCTGCAGGGTTGTCCTTTCCTGGTATGTGGACAATATCGCAATCGTAACCCTGCAGAACCTGCACCCATTTCCACACCCTCCTGTTCACTGCAGGCTGGTTGGGCAGGTTTTTCAAGGAGTCATGATCTGTCTGGATGACGAAGTGACGGCTGGCCAAGTAGTGCCGCCATTTCCCAACAGCCCAAGTGATGCCCAGTAGT